AGTCTAGTTATAAAGATGAAGCTCTCTTTTAAGAAGTGAAGTCGAACAAATGCAAAGCGTACCAACTCACATAAATGAAAATAATAAAGACACATGTTCATAAACACGATTCTTTATATATTAAGTGATCATAAGGTTATCTTTTCAGCTCATCAAATGATTGCTCTCTTTATCCATTTATTTCTGCAAAAAGCATATATCAATGGATGTATAGTGCCTTGTAGTCTGTAAGTGTGTGTTGGTAGTTTGTTAATCTGTCACTGTCATGCATAAACTGAGATGGTAACATTGTAAATGAGGAACCTTAGGGGGGTGTTACAATGGTTGCCATGACATCATCTTATGACACTAAAAATATTATACACCCAAACAAAAACATATATTAATCTAAAGGAGACAGTTATCAACTTAAGAGGGTGTATAAAAGTCTGAGAGGGCAGATGTGTATTTATATTGTTTTAGCCCTTACAAAAAATTATTTTGTTTAAGAACAAACACCTAGCATGTAAAATAAACACCAAAAAAGAGGTATTGCCAAGGATAATGATTTGATATAAACAAAGAGAAAATTCTGAAACTATTGAAGCAGGTTTGAAAATGAAAAAATACTATTATGTAAACAAACACAAAATAGTTTTTGAGGGAAGCGTGTGCCTCTCCCAGCTGGCTCGTGCCAACCATTGTTTCTCAACTCTCAACAAGTTACATACAAATACATAGTACAGAACCATATTTTCAATTAGCTGGCCCTGAACTAGTATAACATACAATTTCGAGGGACTGAACAATGGTAATGAATAAATGAAACGTTTTTGATTATGCAAATTAAACTTGATACCTGCACCAATGAGATCAAATCATTATGATGTACCGCTAAGTAGTATTAAAATAACCAAATCTTAGTCATAGCGGCAAAATCAATATATGGTTGAAATAAAGACCGCAATCCTGGATTCAAAAGCAGATGAAGTTCTTATGTTAATAGGTCGTAATGAACTAGTTGTTACATCTGCTTCTCTCTTAATCTCACAAACAGGTAAAACTGAAAAGAGAAAGAAAAATAACCAAAAGTTGAAAGAAAACAAAAATATGTCGTATGATTTTCTATTGATAATATGGCGATCAGCAATGGGGATACAGGTGAATATGAGATTTTAGGTCTCCTTCTAAACAAAAAGTGTTTATAAACAATAAATTCAATTACAGACAATTCCATCCCAAGTATAAGTAGAACAGAACATACATAGTTTGTCAATTTTTGATTGACATAAGGAGAAATTCAAATTCTCTTTGACCATGCTACTATATCAAAAGTAAGAAAAATATTTTCCTTCAGGTGGTCAACACCAACTTGTGGTTGGTGGGTGCTTAACTCACTTTCTCTCTTAATTTGGCCTTAAGTACATAATTGCCCCTCCACTTTGTTAACATGGCAAACGTGGGTAAATGACATCAAATATTGCATGGGACTCTACATATTTAACACACAATTAAAGCCTGGTTAAAACAATACAACCAGAAGTCCGCATGGTATTTCTAATTGAACAGTTCATAAGCCCTATGATCCATATGAATGGAAGTGTGCCTAAATACAAATACGGTGCATGCCAACTTAAGGGACAGACACTCTTGTACATATAATACATGTATATTTAAATAAGCAAATTCAACGCATGCAACATGTCAAAATCTAGAGACTACTGAAGCATCAAAGAAAATGGTAGTCTCGCTTAAAGCCATGGTCCCCCGCCAACACATCTCATCTCTGGGGAGGGGGAGGGGTTTAGAGATTTGAGATAAGACGCAGAAAATTGCAGAGTTAAAACGGCTTGTTTAAATTCTCAAACTTGAGTATTTTCAGCCATATTATTATGCAGGCATGATATATCAATGTTAACTACATATGTTAACAACAAGAAACAGGTGTTAATACTATATAGAAGTATAATATACATGTAGTACTTGGTCTTATCAATTTATGTCAAGTTTTTATCATCCAGAAATAAGTTCTTGTTGAAATGTTTAAAAACTTATTTTTGACAGTTTGAGTCCCATCTAACAGAGAACACAATCTCTGTATGCAGCCAAAACTTTATTTCATTCAATTTTATTCAATATTTCAAATATTACTGTATAAATTGTAAAACATTTATATCCCATTTGCTACATGAAGTATGCACAAGAACTTCTGAAAAAAGAAGTCGAACATCAATGAACTTCAGCTTCAACAAGTACCTGCATATAAAAGTCACAATAGATGCATTCTTAAATGTAAAAATACACAGAGAAAGAGTGGGAATAGCTAACAACAAGTAAAAGAGGCATGACATTAGCATTATAAATTGTGAAGAAATACCATAAAACCAAACACTTCAATCTAATTTAAGGAGATAAAGAGTGAAAGAAATCATGGCCATGTGCATTTTACAAGGGGCCAAATGCCTGGATAGTGCTGTGCTAATGAATGGCTGTTGCCACGCAAAAATCAACATCATATTTTTTCAGTGTAATTTGTTATTTCAACCATTTGAAACTACCATGGTGATTGAATCCAGACTTCTGTTTTATGGTTATTCAAATGAATTAATTTGATAATTTATGTATCTCTGTTAGCAGATGATACTTCACAGTTTGTGAAAAATCCTGTTTTAAACATAAAAGAGGGAAGAAATAATTTTGAATTTTCATTTTTTGTTTTCTGAAGTAAAAATGAATGAAAAATGCCTATATCCCTTTAAAATAACAGTGAAGATTTATATAAATGACTATAAAAGAAAAAACTATTGATCAATGCTAGAAACCTCAATTCTCTATGTTTCTGTTTCTCGTCTGGCTTTATTGACTGAAAACATATTTCTAGGCTCAAATGACAATTTTGTTCAGTGCTATCTGCAGGGTGCTTTAATTTTGTATAATGAATATCTTGATTTTGATTAATGTAAGCATTTGGACATTTATATTACAGTTATTTCATTAGAGTAATGGTTTTCGCTTTTTTGGGGATAGCAATTGCAATATAACAGAAAATTCAACAAATGAAAAGCGTTATCCCATAAAATATTAAAAAACAAATCATTTAAACCAATTCACTATCCAGCTTTCAAAACAAACCAGATTCCCAACTGTTGCGCCTGACAAAAGAAACTTTGCAAATAATGAAAACAAAGACTCATTGAAGTGATTCTTCCATAAGACACAATAAACCCCATAAATTAATCAATAACCGGATTAGCTTCATTATGATATATCCTGTTAAAGTATAAAATATGAAACATAAAAAATGGCATTTTGTTCCAGTATAAAAAAAGTATATGTTCAATAGTATATTTGAAGCATTGGAAATGAGTCACAAATATGAAATTATATACTTGATGTCTAGACGATTACAATTCTTATTTCAAAAATTAAAAAATGTAGCCATAGATTTCAATCAATTTTACTCATTTCCCTTTTTGCACCAGGAAAACAAGCTGGGCGTGTGGCAATTTAACTTCAATGAAATAAGTATCATTTTACGATTATAGTGTTTTCAACAAGATCTTATAATATTGAACAGAACATAAAGAGATTACTGACTTAAGGAGTGGAATGTTTATCTAATACATTAGGATAAGGACAACCCTAAAATAAAGAGTCACAATGTGTGTCATGTTAAATGAATAATTGAGAGAGAAAGAGATATTTTACCAGGGAAAAATAACACTTATTCAATTATAAATGCTCAACATTCAAAAATTGTTATTCACAGCCAGAGCTCACGATTTCAAATATGTAGCAAGACCAAAATGCATTACAGACACAAGTCCCCAGAGACTGACTATGTTATCCCAAATCTTTTAAGAAAAACAAGCCCAACATGCCATTGATTGCATTTTGACTTCTAAGGTTGCATGCTGTTATGCGCCCAATGACTCAAGATTGTCAGATATTTAAATCAAAAGCTTTCGAATAGAATCAGTACAACCAAAATGACATTATGACAAATTCTTCAATAATCCAATCTTATACATGTGTGTGGGGGCAAACTCTAATAGGTTTACAAAGTGCACCTGACCCAAATCCAACATACATATGCCAAAATATCAACCTCACATCAATGTACATATGCCATGTTTCTAGGATCCAATACTTCTTTTACTAACAACTCGTTAAACAAAAACCATAAAGATTCATCATAAGTGATTATTAAATACCATTATCTTGAATTCCTGAAATACTAAGTAATACTAAGTAAATCATACAGAATAATTTCTTCAAATGTCTAAAATCAAACTGGTAGGTGAGTATGAACATAGATGCCAGATTGACTAACTTAGCCAAGTTTCAGAACAAATATCTTCCTCATGGCAAAATAAAGATAAAGAAATGTTTCTATCAATCATTTATACACAACAAATATTTACAATGCATTACACATATTGCCCTATAGTTAATGACATAATACATGAGACCATATCTCAATAGTAAAGCTAATTTGGAGATAAGAAAGATACGAGAAAAATTAAATATAGATTCATGATAAATCATATGACAGAAATGTTCAATATTTCCATATATAACAGCAAGTTACCGATAAATTGCAATCAAAATTATAAATCTATTAAATCCGTTAATTCATATTTTTGAAAATATCTCCAATAGAGAAGCATTATCAATATTTTTATTTGCTACCAATTCAAACTCCAAAGACAAAGACTATGTATAAATACCTCTAAGATTAAAAATACAGCAAGTTAATATTCCAATTAAAACCTTTAAGAATTCATGGAAAGGGAAAAAGCAATGTCCAGAGTATGAGATAACTAGGTGAGCCAAATTAAGGTAAGGAAAGAAATTTTGACTCATGAAATTGTGAAATATCAAAAATCAAGGCTGAAGAAAAGAGTGGACAGATAAGATATCTTCAAGTCTCAATATTATTGGCCAGATGAACTCTTTATACCTGCTGTTTAGAGAGAGTTGACCAATCAAGAGAACAAAAATGTTGACCACTTGGGTTCCTGGAGTGGCTGATTGCACTGCTAAATTAGCGTCACTTTATAAATGTGTGACTCTATTGAACAGCACTTCAAGACGGTTTATATTGACATTGTTAACACTGACACCTATTGGTGGGCACAGGAACTAGTGTGAAATCAACACAGATGGCAGGTTCTTTGTAAGCGAGCCAATCACAGGAGGAGACTCAATTACTTTGATAACACAATAACACCAAAGAGCATTCTGCTGTTAGCCTACCCTGGCCATTTATAAGCAACAGAGTGGAGAGTGAATTCAGAAATCAAAAGATGAACGAAGGAGCAACATCATAGGTTACAGTTAATAAACAACAAACATCACCATGTGGGACTTAAATATAAACACACTACATATATACAGCATAAACATGTCAACTTTAACATGGATTCTCCTCAGCATTAGTATCACAGTCAGCCAAAGTGTAAGTAAACTTTTAAGTAACTTTCACAAACTTTTTTAACAAGATCTTCAAATTGGATTTGACAGATGGTGGAATGAGGACAGAAGTCAGGATGATCTACATAGAAGAGATGTTAATAAAGTCCCCCACTGATCAGAGTCTAGTCAAAATCAAATTACAACTTCAATTTACTAAATTCAGCTTTGAAGTTGTGATGATCAGTTTTTAGAAGTGAAATTATTCACTGAGAGGTTATGGAGTCAATCTGGAGTCACTAATCAAGAAATATCTATCTTTCAATTTTTGATGAAAATACATAATTATTTTGTAATTTTTTCACCAAGATTACACAAATCATATTACTTTACTAAGATTTCAAGCACTTTTTACAAAGTTTTAATATCTCATATTTTACCATGTTGGCAGTAATTTGCAAATTACATGTGCAAAGGTGACAGTTTCCATACACATAAAAGTGTGCGGATTTCTTAAACATAATTATTCATTGGTAGTTCTTTTTGAATTGGTATTGTTGTTATTTTAAAACCTATATACCATCTTGACATTATTTCAATGCTACCCTGGGGACTCTAGTATATAAAATCTTATTCACATTGTATACTTCAAATGAAAAACCTAAAATGTGATCACAGTTTTTCAAATCCCATTAAATTAGAATGTAACTGTGAATAACAGAGGCGTTGAAATCCAGTAAATTTAAATGAAAAACAATCAAAATCGCACCTTGGCTTTAAACTTAAAAAGCTCAAACTTAATAAACTTAAACTTTCCCTGTCAAAAGTCTAATTGAGTTCATAACATTAAATGATGGCGCTACAGAATAACACCCCATTTAGTTTAAAAATGGGAAAATGGGGTAAATATGTCATTGGACTTTCTATATGTCCTAATCTTTGAAGAAGAAAATTCGATCCAAATGACTAAATAAGGTATGTTAGGGGCTACCCTGCGTGCAGAGTCTAGTTAAACTACAGATGAAGCTCTCTTTTAAGAAGTGAAGTCAAACGAATGCAAAGGGTAGTTAGGGGCTTTCCATATACCTATATCAGTTTTCACGAAAGTTAGCCCTGAATTTGAGTTTGTCAGATTCAACAGTTAATGTTGATATAACTGACAAACATGGCTCCTCAATGTTACATGCTATATGATCTTAACGCTTTGAAGGCTAAGAAAATATATTATGAATTTAAATAGAGATAAACTGATGGTCTGCTTATATCTCAAGTGCCATGTTAGTTTTTGAAGGCTTTTTGAAGCAGCTATTTGTAAGATGTTTAACACATCAAAGACTATCAAGTATCATATCAACAACTCTAGTTTACAATTACACATGATGGTCCCATGTTCTGCCTTTCAAAAATATGTCTAAATTGAAATTCATTTCCCTAATTTGTTAAGACCAGGATATTGGATGATCTGAAGTACAACTAAAAAAAAGATAACGGTAAAATGAGGAATAGTTGCGGTTATCTTTTGAACCTATGAACACTTTTGCCAATAAATAACAAACTCGCCTAAAATGTCTTACAACTAATTTCTACAAAAGCTTCAAAATCAAGTTTTTCAGGAAATTCACTGAAATACCAAGCAGTGGCTATAATGTTGCATTCCAAATATTATAGATTTAAACTACAATGTTCATAACACCAAGATGAATAAATATGAATAAAATATTTTCTAGGGTCACTTCAGGTATTGTGATGAACACAATGCACATTGAACCTGGATGTATTCCTCAATTTTTAGTGGTTTTATTTCTTCACATTGGTTTCCTCCCACGTCTCAGTATTAACTTCCTTACAAATAGATATCACAAATATTTAGAGCAGTTTTAGTACTTTCCCTATTCAATCTACATTAGTTATTATACCAGTGGGTGGGGGGGGTGGGGGAGGGGGGAGGGCAGCCCAACTAGCCACACTAAAACATATAGGTATATCACAGAATTTAATTTTACTTGATGATACAAAAAGTGGCACGGGTTAATGGCCTAATCCAAAACAACAAAACATTAAAGCCCTATTGTAATCTAAATCACGGTCACACTTTCCCAGAGGAAATTCTAGCTGGAAACAATATGCTTAAAGTAATTACCAATGCTTGAATGACAAAAAACAAAAGGCAGGTTGGTGTACATGTTATTCACAATTAAAGGTTTATAGTAAAGTGCTGGAACACGTGTGTTGTCAAGGTATAACTGCCAATAGATAAGGCACACTGGGTGTAATGGCAACAGTTCCTCCAAGGTAACCCAGCTGCCTGCAGAAGTCCCCACATAATCTCACCTAACCTATTCAAATATCCCATTCAACAAAAACAATCCGGTCTAAATACACAACTAAATTATTGATTTTTATTTTTTGCCCTTCTCAGCTGTCTTTGGAAAATGGGGCAAAAACAAAAGACCCGACATTATTTCAAAAGACTGATCATACGTCTAAACATGATCATTTTGAACAATAGCTTTCAAGAAACATACTCTTAACTCCCTGTGTTAATTAAAACTGCAATTGATATCAGAGATGAAAAATGAAACAATAAAATCGCAGGTTTTTCCACTCGAGAAGTTAACATTTATCAGCTCTAGCTATCCAGGGGTTAATGAAAATATCTTCTTGTAATTGTAAACATTTGTTATCAAAAAAGTAGCAAACCTCAGAAAAACAAGTTACAGTAGTTGGCTAAAGCATTGATACTTGATAAACGCCATATGGATTATGGACAAGAATGTAATGAACTCTTTTACTGTTAGGGAAATCAAATACCCAATGAAGGTCAATACTGATTATTTAATTTTTCACAGCTTTCTTAGGATTAATTCACCAATCCGTGGCCCAGTCAAGCTTGATTGATTACATTGAACAGTTAAGAATCACAAACCATCCCCAAGTGTCAAAGTTTTAATCATGTAGACTGATTCAATCTCATAATCTTGGTTAAACTGATACTATAGCATCACAGTTCTTTGAACTTGCCCAGGAAACAGAGGTGTCATTTACATATTATCTTTTCTCTCTGCTTATTGATTATCACATTAAAGTCAAGAAAATAGATAGTGTGATCTTTCCCATGCTCTCTCTAGTAGATGCAATCCCCTAGCCACTACTGAACCACTCATTAAATCAACAAAATCTAGGCTCACTATAGAAAATTGACGCTGCCTTATAAGAGTGCATGGGAAAAAGCCAACAGACTCTTCTCAAATTATGCAATGGTGTTACAATTCTTCTTTTGTCTGTGAAATTGCTCGAAAATTCAACAGAAATCTCAATGGAAGGCATAAGATCGATAATTTGACACCCAAACCTTGGAAAATATCTATATCTGAACTCTATTTTTTTTAAGTTTTGATTTTTAGAGCAACACATATCAAAGAACTGTAAGGGAATCTAGTCAGCACCAATGCCCCCTAGGGTATCTTATTCAGTCTAGCTTTCAAAACTCTCTTATTTTAGTCAAATATGATGACAATGGTAAAATTTCCCAATCTTCCTTGGGTAATTATACTAAGTTAAATGTTCCAAGGGAAATCTAAGACAAATGTTCTGCATTAGTTCTAGACTTTCAACATTTCCATTTTAACAAAGCAAACCCATATATCAAAGGAAATGGTAAATTCTCAGAAACAAGTTCTTGTGTCTTAATTTCAGATTTATATTTAGAAGGTCTGTTTTATTTATTTATCCAAGCTATTAGAACATCAATATTTCCTGAACAAATTCCACATGTTTAGAAGCATCACCAGTTCTTATTAACACTTTTCACCCTGCTACCTTTCTGTATAATCCATGCTCAAAGATGTCAGGAAAGAAGGGTTAATGGGTTAGATATCTTGGAAGGTATTTTGTGATGTCTGGGAGAGGAACCTAAGATAGTAATGATGAAAATAATATGGCGGCAAGACAGGAAGAGCATAGCTCATTTAATGATCTTTTCTATCAGAATCAAGCCTCTGAAATCATGGCAACATCATAAAACATGTATTTTAATTGGTTAAAATCATATTATGGGCAACATTTGGGAAAAGAAAAAAAACACCTGACAAATCCCTGCAAACCATTCACAAAATAACATAAATATTATAACAAAAAAACATACTTCATTTATCATAAAACCATTACTCAATATTTCACAAATGTTCATGAGGGATTTTGAATTCTTTTTATATTTTCTTGGTAAATTGACCAGAGTAAGAGATAAGAGTTCAATGAAGGCCTGTAGCCTGAGAGATAGTGAATAATCTATACCACCCTAGGGTCAAAGCAACCTTTCTTGGCCACAAATCAGTTTTTTATATGTGGGATAGTCAATGTTTACATATAGATAAAACAAAGTAAACTATGGATTTGACAAGATATCTCAATTTTAATTAAAAATTCCGAATAGATCTATACCCAAACATGCACATCAGAATCAAATTATAACCTGAAAAAATAATTCCAATTGTTACAGATTCCTAATTCAAATCATTACACAACTGTTTTATTGAGGTTAATCTTAATTTCTTTTCAAGGATTTTCAATAATTTGGCCAAAATTCATTTTTCACCCCATGTAACTGTATTACGAAAAAGTCAGTGGGAACAAATGGAAAGTAACAGCTCTGAAGTGCTCCTCTGCAGGTAAACCAGCTTATGTTTTGTTTGTTAAGTGTTACACTGGATTAAAAAGATTACTTCTGACATCTCTGGCCCCTTGTTTCTATCTTATCTAAATGTCCCTCCCTCCATATTGCATAGAGTATACGCTGATAAAGCTCAGTGGGAGTAGGCGTATAGAGCCAACACAAACAGATACCAAATCACTTATACTTACTGTTTTCAAAACATTCTGTATAGCATGACTTTAGATTTCTACATTTATTTAATTCAAATCAGATTTAAATCAAAATCACTGTATAATGTTAAAACAATGAAGTTTCGTGATCGGGAATCTGTTTAACTCCAATGAGTACAAAATGATTCAAGTTCTATAGGTTATATGTTAAGTTAGATGTTGTTC